ATTGAGAGTACTCGTCGTCCTCTCACATTCACACACCCTACTTCTTAAATTATGCAATACTCGTTTCTTTACTTAGTGTGTATGACATTTTAAAACATCATTCCACATGCTAAGTAGGTTCTTCAACTACTTTCCATAATTAGTCACCGTTTATTTTGCGTCTAGGTTCTTCCCATCACCTTGCGCATCCCACTCCCCCATACATGGTAAGTTCTTTTCTGCATGCCTCTTTCTTTCTCTATGGAAGGTAAGTGGGGTTTTGGTCCGAATGCATCTCTCTCTCTCTCTCTCTTCTCTAGATGGTAAGTCATCTGTTGCAACATAATTATTTTTCCTACAAAAATAATTAAGCCGTTAGTCTGTACTTACAATCAATTATAACAATAAGGAAACAATATCTTGACAACTACCCTTAGGATTCTCAAAGATCTCCTTCTTGTCTTCCTAATTTTGATTTAAAGATATAATTAAAATTTCCGATTTAATGCCAAAATATCAGATTATTACATTTTCCCCCTTTGGAATATAAATCGAAAATTCCTTTTGACAAGAACCTGCCTAAGTCAAATGCCAAGGCAAATACAGAGGCAAATAAAAGAAGAACTAACATCACAAAATATGTTGTTCAAAAGAACAACTTCGAGAGATAAACTTGCACAAGAATATATATAATAAAACCAACTTAGATGCTCAAGATTAATTAAAATAAGCAAGGTGTCCATCACCATGCATGAAACTTACAACCAAAGCAAAATAAGGTGTCTAGCATCACAACCATCAAACAAAACAAGCAAGATAAAAGGTGTCCAGCACGAAGGAACCACACCCAATCAACCCAAACACAAGTAGCATCAGAAATTGTTTAATACAAACCCAAAACAAAATATCAAATAGACTAGGAGTTCAAACAGACCCTCTGACGTAGACTCAGATAAGCCGACATCATCCTACTCTTCTCATCAACATCCTCTTCATTTTCAGGTTCCTCTTTCTCTTTCTCCTCAACTAATTGAGTCTCCTTACTCTTCTCTTCATTTTTACCTTTGTCAGCTTTCTCCCCTCTTTTTGATTTATGATCCAAAGGTGCAACAGACCCACGACCAGACTTTAGCTCTCCCAGCACTTCTTTGTTGTACCTTCTTTGATCAACTAGCTTCCTTTTGAGACCACCAAAAATGGCGAAATGTTGAGATAAAAACTTTTCTAACTGAATAGAGACATCAAAAGCCTTAACAGATGAAGGGACTTGAGTGCAAAAAGCTTGCTGGGTGGTGTAAGTTCATCACCAACCCTGGGGTCTAGCCTTACACCAGCCTTAGATAGAATTCCAAAGATAACAGAAAGGAAAGACAACTACTTAGGTGGTTTTGTCACACCAACAAAGGAAACAGTAGAATTAATGATGACAGAGGCAAGATCAAACATTTTTCCTGAAAAACACGAAAAATGACTCTAGCCTGAGTGAAAGTGACACTCTGCTTGTGCGAGGTAGGAGTCCAATTTAGTGAACCAACCTTTTGAAGAGCATTTGCTTGATCAGTTAGGCTTTTGACAAATAGACTGGGGATGATCCATTTTGTCAACTGAACTCTTTAAAGCGTATGGCACTTTATCTAAATTGTCATCAAGTATGAGACTGACCATACCACATGAAAAACGAAGATATGAATCAACCGAATGAGAGAATTCTATGATACGATTCCTAATAAACAATTGACCCAACAACATTAAAACTCAAGGATAATTTTTCGTAAAATTTAGAAACAAGATGGGGACAGAACCGACCAACAGAGGTTACATAGTTTTTAGAACCAAGGTTTTTTATCAAATCAAACAAACCTAGTTTTCAAAATGAGAGACAATAATAGGATGCTCGGGGCAGAAATACATAAGTGAGTAGACCTGAATATAACAACTCTGAGCAACCATTGTGTAGAATTGGTGCGAGTAGATACTTCGGATGTCATAATCACCATCTTCATCCTCCATCTCAGAGTTACTCTCAGGAGGTTGTTCCTCAGAATGAGAATGAGAGCGCTCACATAAACGGTGACTAGTGCTAGGAACCGTCTTCTCCACTGTAAGTTCTGCATCCTCATCAACGAAGTCATCAACTGCACTCTCAAGTGAACCTTTTTTTATCTTTAAAAATCTCCTTTTCATGGCGTGAATCAGGAGACAACATTAGCAGCAACTTTTCTTTGTTTCTTTGATTTCTCCCCCTGACGTCTAGGCAATTTGTTCCTTTTTCCTCTCTTAGATGGAGATGGGACGACAAAAACATTAGTTTCAGTTGGGGGTTCACCCTTCTTATTGGTTGCACTCAGGGCGACCATCATAGTAGAGTTGCTTTTGTTAGGGCTCAGGTCGGAGCACAAACAAAGAGGGGTGCCCGCATCAACACCAGAGAATCACCGTCTCAGATGTAAGTGATAGGAGGAACAAAAAATTCTTGTTGAACTGCGGAGCGTGTAGCGTCTATGGCCATATCGCAGGTGGTCGTGATTGACATCATATCAGATGAAACACCCTACCGTGAAGACCGCCGAGACGGTTCAGAAACATTACTCTTATTTTTCTTAACCACCATCTTTGCTCTCGGCATGGTTGTGAGGATTTCTCGGCAATACAGGCAGGAGAGCTGGCAGGGCTAAGGCGTTTTCCTCCGGTAATCCTGTAAGAGGATTAAACCTTGATCCTTCAGGATCATTCCCACTTTGGAACCGAAGTTAGAATCCTGTGCATACGAGAAAAAGAGAAAGAGTTTAAAACAATCATAGGACTAAAGAAGATGCAGTCTCTACCGCCGTGGTCGAGACGGACTCCACCAATGGAATTGTTCG